GATGAATTTGTAATCTGCAAATTAAAAAAAAACGTTAATAATAATGAAACAGAATGAATATTCTAATTAAATAGGATATTATTCCTGTGACTAGTGTGTGACCATTTTGCGAAGCAAATGGTTACACACTAGTATTAAAAAAATTTAGTCAACTAAATAGTCAACTAAAAATAATTGACTAAATAGTCAACTAAAATAATCGACTAAATAGTTGACTAAAATAGTCGACTAAAAGAAATTTTGACCAACTAGTAGTCAACTAAGGATTTTTTGGATGATTCCAACCTCTAGCTCTGATCATATTAGAACTATTTATTTATTTATCTTTATTATATAAAATTCAGCATAGAATTTATTTATATCCAAAAACTTAATAATCATGGAGTAATCTGTTACATAAGGAATTCATTTATAATTTTAATAATAATAACAAGGAAAAAAAGAAGACATAATAAACCATCTATATACAAAAGGTATAATTGGGGCATGTCTTCACAAATCACAATAAGTTGCAGATTTATATTTTCTTTTATCTCACCTTCCAATTTAACATATACAATTGTTATTTGTTATATCTTTAGTCCATCACATTTTGGAATAATATGTATTGGTGTCAATGTTTGTAAGCCTGAATGGATAGAGGATGAAGATTGGATCTATTTGAATTCAAGTGTTGAATTCCCATGCTTTAAATTATCTTCTAACACAGAAGAATTACTAATTTTACTTTTAAAGACTGTAAGTGTAACTGATATTGTTATTTTTTTTTTTAATAAAATTTTATTAACAAATGTTAATGATAGGACTCTTTAACTGAATATAAGAAAATCATTTGTGAAGCAAAATACAAAAATGACATTGATACTGAAATGGAATTTATTACAGATGTTCTTTGGTGGTTGTAAGTGTCCTAACAATAATTCATTAGAATTAATCTCTGATATTTTTCATTTATTTATTATTTATTGATTAATTTTGATCAATTTTGAAGTGCAAGTAATGTATTTAATATAGCATCTGCTTTTCATGGTATACATAAAAATGAGGCACTTTTAGGATCATCAATGATTCACCCAATATTACAGTACCTCATGAATATAACTGACCATATTACATATATTCCATATGTTAATATAGAATTATATTTTGATTTACATTTCATTTTTCTTGAAAGCATTAAAAAACCTTTTTTTCAAACAAATAAAATAGTGGTGAAATTCATCTAAAAGCAAATGCTAATCAAAGATTATTGAGGTGTAATTTAAAACCTGAAGATGACAAACCTTTAGGTATGAAGGTGGATGGTTTATTTCATACTCCAGGAAATAAAGGACTTGAAATTGGAATGGTTGAGTTATCAGGTGGTTACTTAACTTCAGATATGCCTAGATATATAAAAGACCATGTTAAAGGTTATTGGGAGTGTCATGATATTCTCAATGATATTGTGAAAAAATACAATTGTGGAGATCATAAAATTTTGAGAAATTTACATATGTAGTTCTTTCACATACATGGTAAGTTGATAAATAAACTCAGTATTTTAATTTTATAAGGTAAATAATTTATTTTTTTTTATGCATACAGGTCAAGGGGTGCAGGTGTGGAGAATGGATCTGCCAGTTTCAAAATTTTACAGAATGTTTTTAATTGGTACATTTTGTTTGCCAATTAATTGGGATGAGCATTATGAATATACATGCAGCCCAAATTGGTTTGGTGATTTTGATGGTCAAAATTATTCCAATTTTGATGGTAGAAAGTAGAAA